TTTTTTTTTTTTTTTTTTTTTTTTTTTTTTTTTGAGATGCAGGAGGGTTCAGGCAAAAGCTTCTGCAAATCAGCTGAGCCTTGTCAGTCCCAACCAGGGAATTCCAGACTCCCCCAAGGCTCTGTGGCTCAGGAAGGATCCAGCTGCGTTTTCCAGCCCCTGATGAAACTCCAGGTTGCACCTCCTGCACGATAACAGGAACACATCACAGTTCTCCCTGAAGCTTTTCAGCCTGTTCAGATATTCCCACAGGAATTTCTGAAGGCAGGTTCTTCCACAACGCGATTAAAACTTCCAGGGTGGCTTAAGGCCATGCAGGTACCTGCAATCGCCCCCCACCCGAGCCTGCCCGAGGACACGAGGTCCATATCCCACCCTGGGACGTGTTTCTAAACAGGGCAATGCCATTTCAGCACCAAACCCATTTTTGTTTGGATGTCCTAACCTCCTGAAGTGCCTCAGTAGGCAGGAGATCACACTGCTCCAGGAGGAGTCTGTGTGTTATCTCTTTAATCCCCCACCCTGGCAGGGTTCAAGGATGTCACCTGGAGCTGTTTTCCTGCAGCAAGGAGTGGCACAGGGCCCTCTTTGCCCCGCAGTGGTCATGGGATGGCTATTTTTTTGTTTCAGTCCCATCACAATAATGTGATTCCCCCACCTTTTTCTCTGTTTTTCTGCCTCTTCCCTTGTGTCACTGAGAACCCCCAATTTCTGAGTCCCTCAGAGCAGAGTGAAAGGAAATACATTTTCTGGTATATTCCTCATCTCACAGGTTCCAGACTCCTTGGATCACTAATGGAGGGCCCAAAGATACCAACACTGAGCTCATCCTTTAGTCCAAACATCCTTCAGTCCAACCTCCCCTTCGCCTCTTGTGGGTCACGAGTGCCCTGAATGACTCTTTTTCATTTTTTGCCCTATAATTTAGTGGGAATGCAAAAAAACCCTGACAGTGTCATGGACTAGAGACACGGATCTCTCCTTTATTGATGGGACACCAGATACCCCAAAAGTGTGAGAAATATTCACCTCCCTTCCTCAGGAGATGCTCTGCCCTCCAAACCACCTTTCAGGAAAACCACCGTTGTTTCCCCACACCTGGAAGAGTTTGAGGGAAGCAGGTGGATAAATCCCTACAAACAGACTCCTCACACCTCCCACTCCGGGGCCTGTCCGGTCTCACCTCCCTCTCGGCTGGTTTTGTGTTGCTCAGTGACCGTCTCTGCTCGCACACAGCCACAGCCGGGCGGGGGGGGTGGGGGCTTCCGAGCACTTAAACACATGCAAATAAATGCAAATACATGCAGAACAAGCTCACACGGCTCCCCAGGGGGTGGGTTGGCAGCATGATACTTTTTTTTTTTTTTTTCCCCCTGAGCTTTGAAAAATTAGGACGAGGAGGGGGGAAGTATTTGGGATTCCTATGGGCCACCCAGGTGTACCACCAGTCGGTCCAGGAATATCCCAGCTCTGGTCAGGGAGATGCAGAAGACCCCCCCAGCCCCCCCCTCACATACCAGCAGCAGGAGCGTCTTAATCCCAAGGGCTGTTGTTGTCCCACGTCCAGGGGTGTGAGGAACAAAGCGACCCCACTCCGCCCCGGGCAGGGGGGAGCAGGTGGTGCCACCATCCTCTGAATTCACCCGCGGGTCACTGCAGGTGCTGCTCGGTCACGTTTAGCTTCCCAAAAAATCCCGCTCCGGGTCTCCCCGTCCATCGGAGCCATCCGAGCCCTCCCGAGGGTGCTGCTGAACCCCCCTCCCCACCCCGGGCAGGGGGATTAAGGGATGGGGACGTGGAGGGGGGAGGGATGGACACAGAACGGCGTTTGCACTCAGGAAAGTGCCCGAGGGATTGGATGTTAATTCTCCCTAATGCTTCTGTGCCATGTGTGTGTGAATCACGGCTGCGACCAGGAGGGCTTCACCATCTCTATTTATAGCGCTTTCATCTCCTCCTGACATCGGAACATGAGGCGATTAAGCAGGAGAGGGACAGTCCCTAAGAAGCTCCGGGGCCGGACAGGGCAGGTTGGGCTGCTCGGGGAAGAAGGGGAGATAAACCGGGAGTTCAGGCACTCTCTGGGCTTCATCCTGAGCAGCCTCCTGGAGCTCCCTGGCAGTGACACACAAGGGAGTCATTCCCAGCTCACCGGACACAACTGGGATTTATTTCCCTTTGGATCTGGAGGATGGTGGGGGGTTATGATCTGCACGAGGGGAGCCTTACCCGCAGAGTTAACCCCTCCATGGCCGCTCAGGACTCTCTTCTCATCCCCCGTTCTGCCTGTCTGCACAAACAAAAGGCTCATAAACCCCTGTGATGGGGAGAAACCAACAGTTAGTGCAGGAAAAAAGGCAGAGGCAGGGCAAGGAGGGAAGTCCAGGGTAACAAAGCCCAGCTCAGGTGAGCAGAACAGCAGGGAGGGGGCTGGTTTTGGACAGGGAGATGGGGGTTGAAATGAGGAGATTTTCCAGCCCAAATCACAGTAACCACCTGAGGTAAGTCCTCAGTAACACCTTCCCTTTCTCTCCCTCTGGTTTGGTATTTACCCCCAAAGAACCACTTGACTCCTTGGGTGATTTAAGAGCCATTCCCAGCTCTCCAAGGGCCCAGCTTCAGAAATGGTGCCTTTCTTCCCCCTTCAAAGAACCACTGGACTCCTGGAGTCCTCTTGGGCCATTCCCATCTCCCTGAGGGCACTGCCAGAAGGTGTCCCCTGTCTCCCCAGGCTGGGCAGTACAATGTGGCACAGGTTTCTCATTTCCCAGGGCCATCCTCACCCAAGCACAAGGAGCTGGAGCTTTGGGGACCTTCAGGACCGTCACATTTTCACTGTGCCTGCTCCACAGGGTCCTTCCAGCCCTCTCCAAGTCTTCACCACCTTGCTCCCTCCACACAGCCAACAACACCCCCCCCTTACACTTGGGACTCACAGACACAGGTGAGGAACTGTGTGACAGGTTTGGAAGTGCCAAGGTAATGGCACTACCACCACCTTTCCCATAAAACCTCCCTCAGCTTGCTACCTGGCAGAGGTAATTCAACCATCAACCCCCCCCAAAAAAGAGCTCTTACCAGCCTTGCTGCTCCCTTCTGGCTTCCAGCTGATGAATTTGGGGCTGTCCTGCAGCTGCAGATTTTGAGAGCAGCTGAAGCACTAATCCAGCAGCCTCTCTGAGCACAGATTAATCGGCCAGGCCTCACCCCTCTGCAGCATCTGGCCAGGGATGCAGCCAAAGGAAGGATTGCTGGTGATTTCCTGGCTTCAGCAGCGCAGCAGAGTGGAAAATGGGGAGCTAGGGGGCTGGGGGCTGGGTGTCCATACCACCTTGTGAGCTGAAAATGTTAACTGTGGGCTGCCACAGCACGGGAGGTACATTATAAATGTACCAAAGGGAAAGGCATGGCCATGCCCTCCCTTATGCCCCAAATCCAGGGGCATTATGCACCTCAGTGCCATCTTACTGCCTTCCTGAGATCCTGTCAGGTACAAGAACCCACCCCATACCAGCCCTTCATTTCAGTATCTCCAGGAGCGGCCCAGAATCTGAGAGTGCCCAAAATACTCTGGTGGAGCCTGTGCCCCTGGGCTGTGCCCAGATTTTGGTGAGTGGGGCTGCAGACGACCTCCTCACTAACTAGAATAGATGAAACTCCTTGTAGGTTTGTTGCTCCTCATTTCTGGGAATTTCCATTTCCTTCCAGCGTTCTCCAGGGTGGTCCTGTGCCCAGTTATCCCAAAATACCAATAATCCATTTGTCCTGGGGACACAGTCTTTAGCTGAGGTTGTGGAAAGTGAGCCTGTGCTGGTCAAAGGTTCCTCAAAGGTTGCCAGAGGAGCTGTGGCTGCCCCTGGATCCCTGGAAGTGTCCGAGACCAGGTTGGTGTAAATTGGGATAAGTGGAAGGTGTCCCTGCCCATGGCAGAGGGTGGGATGAGATGGGATTCAGGTAACCTTCCAATCCCAAGCATTCCATGATTCTCTGTGTCTATGATCCAGCTCCTCAGGGAAGGTGAGCTGTGAGGAGTGGGATTCGCAGGAGCCACACGGTGAGCGTGGGGGTGGCACAACCTGCCAGTAATTGGCACAAACACATCTGAAATTCATGTCTACCTGGGTTTTGAGGGCTTTAAGGTCCCTTCCAACCCAAACCAGGCTGGGATTCTGCAACAAAGCTCTGATAAAATCCCCTGGGCTGGGTCCAACAGGAGCCTCCCTCAGCCCATGGAGTGACAGTGAAACCTCCACCACCCCACATCAGCGCTGGCCACAGCTGGCCTCAACTTTGGCTCCTTTTCCTCTTCCCTCCATGATTCAGGAGCCTGCAGGGAGCTGGGTTTTCCCTGAGCTGTTTCCAAGCTCTCTCATTAACTGCTTGCCAGCAGCCAGTGCTCCCATAATGGGCATCTCCTCTGGAAATTGCAGCCCCATGGCAACAAGGAGTTTAATGGCCATTATTCCTAAATGAAGGACACCAGTCTAGTAATCCACCTCCTGCCTCTTGCAAAGGCCCTTGGAAATGATGATTTCCCATTGCAGGTAAGGCAGGAAAATACACACAGTCACAAGTCTGTTAAAAACCTCACCAGCATGGCCTGGTGGTGCAGTTTTTAACATTTCAAAATACTGGTTTGTGATTGTTTGTTTTGTTTTGGTTTGGTTTGGTTTGTTTTTTTTTTTTTTTCCATTGACTAAGTGAAGATGAGGGAATCTTTTAGGCTTTTTGAGAATTGAAAGGTGCAGATCTTCCTCACAGATAAAGATGGGAAACCTGATTTCAGTGATAGGGCTCATTTCACCTGGTTTCCAGCAGAGCCTGTAGTTGTTCACTTTCAAGTTGAAGACATTTTCCTGGGTGTCTCAATAAAAAAATCATGGAATCCTGGGGTGATTTGGGTTGGAAGGGACCTTAAAGACCATTTCATTTCATCCCTGCCATGGGCAGGGAAACCTCCCACTAGCCCAGGTTGCTCCAACCTGGCCTTGGACACTTCCAGGGCTGGGGCAGCCACAGCTTCTCTGGGCACCCTGTGCCCATCTTTTCTGTCCTTTCCCTGCCCACCCAGTCTGCCTCTGTCCTCTCTCCAGGCCCTCAGACAGTGGAAAGTGCCATGGAATCCCCTTCAGCTTTATCTCCTCCCTGTGCTGCAGCTCCAACCATCTCAGTGACCCTCCTCTGGATCCACCAGGGTTCACCAACACCCCCAGGCACCCCAAACTCTGCCTCCAGAGCACCCATCCCTTCCTGGGCACCTCAAAGTGCCCTGAGAGCACCCATCCCTCCCCAGGAACCCCAAACTCTGCCACCAGCACACCCATCCCCCCCTAGTCACCCAAACTGCCATTAGAGCACCCAACCCTCTCCTGGGATCCCAAACTGGCACCAGCACACCCATCCCTTCCTGAGCACCCTGAACTCTGCCAGGAACACACTCACCCCTCCCCAGGCACACTAAACTGTGCCATCAGTGCACCCCCAGCCAGGAACCTGAACAGAGTAAAGGAGGATGATGCTCTGAGCAGCACCAGCAGCCCCAGAAGCACCACCAGCAACACTTGCCTGCTTGCAGTGCCCAGACTGGCAAGTGTAGGTGCCCTGCTGCCCAAGTGGGTGCCCCAGGAACCACCCCCCCCTGCAGCCTGGCCCTGCCTGCTGCAGGCTGAGGCAGCAGCGACCTGCTCTGCCCTGCCTTGGGGTACTTAAAATAGGTCAGCAGCAGGTGCCTGGCTGAAATTACCCTTCATTTTCTTGTGAGGGAGCTGCAGAGAGGTCGTTCCCCGTGGATAACAGCGGGATTGCTGGGGACAATGGAATGGTTTGAAATCCAGCAGTTTTTATTAACTCCTCGTGCTCTGTGTGCCTCTGCCAGCTCAGCCCTGCCTTGGAGTGGCACCAGCTGGGTCAGGGGGGTGTCACTGCTCCTAAATGGGCACAGAGACGTGTCCCAGACAGCCCCGGGAACCACAGGGGTATAAACACATCACTGGGGGGTCATTGTGACACACAAAGCCCCTTTCTGTGCCCTCCAACACTTCAGAACGGGGAGGGGTCTGGAACAGCAAAGAGCCAGTTCAGCCCTGGCACCAAAATCTCTCCATTTCTGGAGGTAAATGGGGAACAGAACACAGAGAACAGCACACAGAAAACAGAACATGGATCTTCATGTGACACCGAGTGCAAGTGGACTTTGATTGTGTCAGAGAGGGAAGGGCGTGACTTGAACATCAGGGTGTGGACACAGCAGGACACCAAGGGACGGGGTAGGGATGGAGTGGTGACAAAATGAGGTCTGATGGTGTGTGAACACGAGGGCAGGAATGTCTCAGTGGGGGGAAAAGAGCAGGCTGAGGGCTGGGAATGAGCCCAGAGCTGGAGCAGCGTGTGGTGCCAGGGGTTCAGGGACCTGCATGTGACAGAGGGACATTACATCACAGCAGTGGGAATGAAAGAGGACTGACTTGTCCTGATCCCCAAAGTTCTGTCAGTAAATCTACCTTCTCATTTACCCAGTGTCCAGCAGACCCTCGGGAGATACAGGGCTGACACACAGAAGCATTTTAATGTCTGTGGTTGAGGATAAACAAGATAAACAAGACCCACAGCGCAGGGCCCGTGTAGGACTGGAAGCAGGGGCAGGGGGTGACAGTGCCCCCAGCTCGGGTGGTCCCAGTGCCAGAGCAGACCACGAGAACAGCTGTGCTGGGACAATCCACCGCCTGGACACTCCAGACCCCAACAGTTAACCCAGGAGGCAGAGGGGGAAGAGGATGGGCAAGGACAGTTCGCTCAGTCCAGCAGCTCCTGCCACTGGAAAAGGGGGGACATCCTCTCCTCTCGATCCTCTTCCCGCCTCTCCCAAGTCTTTCTTGACCCCAGTCCCTATCCCAACCTTCCTACGAAGGGGTTCAGCTCCCTCCAGCACCTCCGAGGTGTCCGCTGAGCACCTCTAGAGCGGTGGAAGGTAAGGCAAGACCTCCCCCTTGTGCTGAGCTGTCACATCACGGCAGATTTACAGCTGCAGCCTCGGACAGACCCTGCGGGTGGGAAACCAGCAAAGGAATGTCTTAGTAAAGGAATTAGCCTTGCAGAATCCACAGAAGAAAATTCCTTTTGCTTCAACAGGTGGGAAAAACTCACTCCAGGTCCTGTTACAGTGCAGGGCAGAGACTGCCCCTCATTTGATGAGCTGTGCTTGGATTTTTCCTGTTTTGTTTTATTTTGTTTTTTTTCCCCATAGGATGTCCTTCAGGGTGGAAGGGACCATGGGAAGTGATTTGGTCCAAACTGCTACTCAGCGAGGGTCTGCTTTGAGGTCACACCAAGCTTCTTATGGCCTTTTCCTGAAAGGTCTTGGAAACCCCAAAGTCTTCTGGACAACGTGGTGGGATTCCTGGGGTTGTGCTGTCGGCCAGAGTTGTCCTCAGAGGGTACTTGTGTGTAAGGAACGATGGTGACAAACAGAAGAGGTGAGTCCTGAAACACAGGGAATGCAAAATACAGGAAAAACCTGAGTGGGAGCCCTGCAAACACAGACACTTCGGAGAAGGGCTTGGAGGAAGCCAAAATATGGAACATTTCTGTTCACCCAGTGAAATTTTGCCTCCCAGTGGTAAAATTTTTAGAGGAAGGAAGACGATGAGCAGGATATTCAGCTGCCTGTGCCAGTCCCACCTGGTTCCTCTGCCCAGGGTACCTGTGCTGCCCGTGGGCAAAGTGAGGATATGCTGTTGGTCTTGGAGGGAGAAAAGGGAGCAGAAACACAGCCCTGACCTTCTCTGTATCAGTGCAGTCCCTGTCCCGGGGCTGGGGACCTTCTGCAAGGTCCCACAAGGTTTATATTGTTAGTTCTTACCTCCTCCTCAGGCTCTGCTCAGTCACTGCTGCACAGAGACTCTGGGAACTTGCCAAGAGACTGATGGTATGTGCTGATTTTCATATGAATTTACATGAATTTGCATACATCTCCCTCTCAGTTTGCATTCATTGCTTCTGATGCCTTTAAGAACAAGTAAAACATTGTCTGCTCTGAATGAGGAGAATTTTCTACTTCACTCTTCTCTTTTGCTGATACACAGAACGTGAAAAATCCAGCTACTGGTTGATTTTTTTTTTCTTTTTCCCTTTTCTACTGCTTTTTCCATCTCCCTTCCACCCCGAGATACCATATTGCTCTGTTATTTCTATTTAACATAATATGAACATCGTTATAAAAATGATTCCCTCAGTTGTCCACAAAGCAGGCAAACTATGGCACTGACTGTCCCATTTGCACAGCACTGATGGTTCACAGGCTGATTTTAACGTGCTGTTTCACTTTTCATCTCCTTCCCAGTACGATGTCTGAATTTTGCTTGGTGAGAAGCTCTAGGTCAGTGAAATCCCCCACAAAAGCAAATATTGAAGAAATATTATCCCCAAGGGTTGCTGTGCTGTGTGGGATCGTGGGCTTGGAGTGCCCTGCGTGGAGCCCTGTGGGGAAATGCAGATGTTTTGGAAAGTGTGGTGACTGTGGGACCTGATGCAGTGAGACCCAACCTCCCCTGAACCCTTTTTGTTTCTTTGGCTTCATCCTCCAAGTGCCTGTGGGGCCGTGGTCTCCGGCCCCTCAGCACCCTCCTTGTCTGACAGCACAAACCAGCTCCTCCTCCCTGTCCTGGGGCCACATTTCTGACACCTCAGCCCCCTCTGCCAGACCTCCCATGTCCCTTTTTGTCATCCCCTTCTCATTCTGGGTGGAGGGAGGGGAAAACTTGGGGAATGGACAAGCAGGGGGTGT